AAGCCCCCAGCCGGGGGGGGGCCTTGGAAGGATCAGGGGCGGCTGCAATAAGGGAGGCAGCCTATCTTAGAAGGGGGAGAGGGGGGGGGCTCTGCCTGCTCCTTGCAGATCGGGCGGGCTCCCCTTCTGGAAAGGCACTCTGTGCATGCTCAGAGGCTGCCGCCTTTCCCCCCCGCCCAGCCCGTGTCCGCCCCCCCCCTTTGCTCACCGTCACCCCGTACATGACGGCCAGGCCCTGCAAAGTGTCCCCGGGGCGCAGCTGGTGCTCCAGCCGCCGTTCGCGCACGGGCGAGCTGACCAGGCTGCCGTAGGATCGCGCCCGGCTCCCCCGCAGCAGCCCGGCGGCCCCCGGAGACCCCCGCCCGGAGGGGGAGGAGGCCATCCCGCCAGGCCGGCTCCGAGGAGGGAGGGAGGGAAGGACTCTGCTGCCCCGCTGCCCGCCGCCGCCGCCGCCCTCGCCCTCCTCCGGGGCATCTCAGCAGGCGCCCCCGGCCAGGGCCGGCGAAGGGCGGGCGGGCGACCCCATGGCGACCCCCGAGGCTGTTTCGGCGGACAGTTGAACCGGAGACCCCCGATCCCCCTCCTCGGCCCCGCCCTCCCGGCCAGCTGATCGGCCGCAAAGGCTGCTGGGCCTTGTGGTCCTGGCTCCTCCCCTCCCGGGGACAAACTACATGGCCCATGCTGCCCCCCTGGCAAAGGAGGATGGGGGCTGTAGTCCTTTCTTTTCAGTTAAGGCCTCATCCATCCCGATTGGGGAGCTTTTCCCCCTTGCAGCGTTGAAAGAGAATTTCACCATCTTTTCTTCTTATTATTATGGGTGATTTTGCAGGATTTTCCGGCCTCTTTTTTTCTGCAGCGGCAGAAGCCAACCAAACTTTTATTTTTTATTTTTCTTATATGTTATCCATGTATTCATAACTATGTTTTTACTTCTGCCTATTATCTTGGAAGCAACTGACAAACCAAATAAAATACAATAAAAATAAACTTCCCGCGGGGCCTGCCGGGAAACGGAGTCCTTCGCCTTGCAGGCCGCAGAGAAAGAGAAGGCCGGAGCGCCCCCTGCCGTCGGCGGGGAGTCGCGTCCTGATTGGCGGAGCGGGGAAGGGCTCGGCCAGCCCGCTGCCTGCTGGGAAATGTAGTCCGGTCGTCTCTCCAGGAAGAAAAGCCCTCGCCTCTGCCAGGCGGGGGGGGGGCAGCGGTGGGGCTTCTTTTGGGCGGGGGGAGCATGTCCTTCAAGCGAGAGGGCGACGACCTCAGCCAGCTGCAGGTGCTCAAGGTGAGGAGGGGGCGTCTGGGGGGCATAGCGGGGGGTCATTCTGCCCTTTGCTGCTGGCAGCTCTTTGCTGCTCCATGTCCAGGCGGTGCCGGAGCATGTGCAGAGTGCAGGCCAGCGCAGATTGCTCCTGAGGTTTGCAGCCAGAAGATGGGGGTTGTAGTCCAGCATCCAGGAAGGCCATCATTACCAGGGGACGGGGGCTGGGCAAAGAGAAGGGGGCCTCGCCCTCTTCCATTCATCCCCCCTTCCTTCCCTCCCCCCTCTCCTCCCCCCCTCCCCTCATGCTTCTGCAAACAACCTGACCTGTTGGACTTCCACCTGCTTTGCTCCCTATCCAGAAACGGAGGGTGGCAGAGCTTCTGGCCAATTATATCCCCGAGGACGAAGCTTTGCTGCTGCGCGATGGCAGGTGAGGTCTTGCTTGGGGGCTCGGCCCCGAGTGCGGATCCTGAGGCTGCTCTGGGCGCGAGGTTGGAGGGGGGTTGCAAAGGCCTCCTCTTCCTCCCCACTTCCCTCCCTCCCTTTTCTAGGTATTCCTGCACCGTCTGCTTCCACAGGCCGGTTTTCGACACTCTGGACATGCTCACCATTCACCGTTCTGGGAAAAAACACTTAGCCGGTAAGGATCCTCCCGGCCTCCAGCTAATTTCAGCATCCCCCCCTCCACTTTGCAACCAGCGTAAAGACCTAGCCCAGTGAGGCTCTCCGCCAAATCGGCTTGCATGGGTTTACAAGCCGCGGGGTCGGAGAGCTTCGTCCCATTTCACAGACGGGGAAGACGGAGGCCCTGAGATTTTGCCTCCTCCAGATGGCTTAAAAGTCCGGCTGCTGAGCATGGGGGGCTTTTCTCTCCATCGCAGGTTTGCAGAGGTTTTACGGGAAGAAGGTCTCTCTGGAGAACGAAATTCAGAAGCGTCATCACCAGGCGTACCTGGAGGCGGAAGAAAATGGCACCCAGGTAGATCCTGCTGGACTCTGATCCGCTGCTCTTTCCCACAGGGTGCATTTCTTTAAAAATTTATTCCGAAATAAATGCTTGGCGTGGAAGGAGCCTTAGAATCGCCTCTGAGAACTTAGCACAGAGGTCCCTAAACTTGGCCACTTTAAGACTGGTGGACTTCAAGTCCCAGAATTCTCCAGCCTGCTATGCTACGCTATGCTATGCTGGCTGGAGAATTCTGGGAGTTGAAGTCCATCAGTCTTAAAGTGGCCAAGTTTAGGGACCCCTGACTTAGTAGGTGAAATTAAAACCCCTCCAGATTCTGGCTTTGTTTCCTAGGTGGCTCAGGGACCAGCCCCCTTACTTGCCCAAACGAGGAAGATTACCCAGAATGCCTTGCTGAAAACGGTGCCTTACAACAGCTGCTGCCGCTCCAAAAGGTGAGACCCACATCTGGGAAGGGCCAGCCGCTGGTTCTCTGCTCTCTCCGCCAGGAAGGTCAGTTAATATGAAAGCCTGGGTCTCTGATTTGATGCAGGAACGAGGCCAGTGCCAGCACTTCCGGGCCGAGTGCCAGCTTCAGAGCAGCCGAGACCCCTGGGATGCCCAAGCCCCCCGGTTCTGACTCGGTGGACAAAGAGCGGCAGGTCGAAGAGGAAGGGAGCCCCTCTGCCTGTTTGTCCAGCTGCAGACGTGGAGCAGCAGGTCAGAAGCCGTTTTGAGATCTTGTCAGTAAGCCCAGACACCGAATGCGCAGAGAATGGCGGCCCACCTCGCAGGGAGCGTAAACCCTAACCCTGGGAAAGGACCCGAGTTAGCCAGGGAAGTGTCGAGGACAGGAAAGGGGGAATGTAAGACGTGAATCTTGTTTAGGTCCAAGAAGCAGCATTGTGCACGAAAGGTGGCTTAAACGTGGCTTATTGCCCTATAACCACCCAGAGTCTCTGGATACCAGATGGGGGAAAATAAACTTCATGATCAATCAATAAACAAAGCCCCAGTTGGCTCCACCTGCACAACCAACCGCCTTTGCTGTTCACAGGGATGTCGCCCACGAGCAAAGCTAAGTCATTTTCAGAGTCCTCCTTTCTCACAGAGCCTCGAGAGAAGAAGTTTGCCCGTCAAGGAAAGGGGCGCAAGACACGGAAATCATCTGAGCCCGACGATCCGGAGAAGCGACGCACTTTGGAGCATTACCTGAAGCTGAAAAGGTAACTCCAGAGAAGAGACCCTGGGTGAGGGGCTGCTTATAAGGGCTAGCCTGGAGTCTCCTTCCTTGGCCAAATTTCCTTCCTTTTCTCACAGTTCGGGGTGGATCCAGGACGGGTCCGGCAAATGGGTCAAAGACGAGAATGTGGAGTTCGATACGGATGAGGAGGAGCCCCCAGTGCTGCCCCCATCCTGATGGCGGACAGAAAGCCCCCCCCCGCCCCCGCCTCCCCTGGCCACGCCTTGGAAGAGTGCCAGGAAGACCCGGAAATCTGGAATTAAATTAAATGCACTTTTGGCCCAGTCACTGGGCGTTGGAAGCAACTTTTTGCCACCTTTGTGTGTTGTCTTTTGGTGGTGCGATTGTTCGTGTTTATTCCTCTTCGGCTGCCGTTTGCATTTCGTTTCCAACAAGGCCTTCCTTAAGTTCGTTGGGCAGTTTCTGGACAAGGCGGCGGCTGGAGAGAAAAAGCCACGAGGACATCTGAATAAAAACAGGATTTAGGCAAGCTGCTGCTGTTCAGCTGGACGAATCAAGAAGTGGGCTTCTCCCTCGGGGACTTGGCTGCTGGCTCTTACTTACGTCGCGCTGCCCTCAGAACCGCGAAGACGGGAACCTGGTTTTCTACGTGGGGAACTAAAAAAGACCGAACTCTCTTAGATTCGTCATCCGAGAGGTTTGGGTCTGAGAATCTGGAGACAGTTCAAATTCCCCTTCGTTTTCCTGCTCAGCGCTTATAATCAGGAGCCGTTTTAAATGATTATATTTTCTTCCTTCCTTCCTTTTTACCTCGTAGATGCTGTTTCTTGCCTGCTCCCTGCAGGGAAGGATTATTCACCGTCCTTGGGAATTTCGAGACCTGGGACGATGACTCCTCCTCCTCCTCCCCAGGGAGCCATTCCAGGGTCCTTGCAACCTGACCCTCTGGTTCTCCCATTTCGCCTGCCGTGTCTCAAGGACGGGCTGGGGGGTGGGTGGCAGCCAGCAACACCTGCTTGGGATAATTCTCCCCCATGGCAGCTTCTTCGGACAGCGGCCGGCCTTGGTCTTCTCTGGTTTCAGGCCGGGACGGCGGTCCCGGGCCACCAAAAGCCAAGCCAGCCGAGAGGAAAACCAAGGTGTTTTGCCCAAAGTGCTGCTTGGGTCCTGTTCAGGGTCTCTCTATCCCTCCCCCTCCCCTTGTTTCTGATTTCCCTTCCCCCCATCCCAGGTTGCCTAGGTAGGTCTTACCTTCCCCAAATCTTTGAGCCTTTTCTTGGCCCCAGGGAAGGGATCCATGTCCCGAGTGCTGAGATGTTCAATAATCCTTTTTCATCCCAGAAGGAGGGTCTCCGCTGCCTTTACTGTAGGCAGGAGAACCAAGCCCCCTCCTCCCTCTCCTCTCCCCCCCCATCCAATTCCCAAGACCCCAGGCCCCTTTATTTAAGGCAAAGACACCACCAGGGTCCCCGAGCCTGCGTACCAAGTACAGGTGGTCCTTGACTTAAAGCAATTCATCTAGTGACCATGTGAAGTTATATTTTGGGCTCGAGGACCAGCTGTTATCAAGAGCCTTAACCGTTTTTTAAAACATGGCTTCCGTCTCGGGAAGATCGCAAGCGCCGCGGCGGCAAACGAAGCCAGTTGGGAAGGAAGGCCCTACATCCCTGAGGAGGGAAGAAGCGGGGGTAGCATCGTTCAGATCTCTTTATTTACAGAGGTATTTAAAAGGCGGAGGACAGGGGGGGCTCGGAGATGAAGGGAGGAAAAAAAAAAACGAAGTTGGGCTCGTGAGCCCCAGAATCACTCTTGGGCTGCTTTGGAGTTGTAGCCATGGGGAAGGAGGGAGGGGGGTGCCTGAGCCATGGAAGCCGCTTCCGGGATGATGGAGCCCCCAATTTATGTCTTCTTCTGTTTGCGTCCTGCAAAAGGAAAGAGGTGAAAAGCAAGAAGACAGCTGGCAAGACCTCTCCCCCGGCTTATCCAGCCCATCCATCCCTCTCTTCCTCCCTCTCTCCCTTTCCTTCCCTTCCTTATCCTTCCCTTTTTCATCCTTCCCTTCCCTCCCCCTCTTCCTTCTTCCCTTTTTCATCCTTCCTTCCCTTTCTCATCCTTTCCTTTTTCATCCTTCCCTTCCATTTCTCATTCTTCCCTCCCACTCTTCCTTTCCTTTCCTTCCCTTTCTTATCCTTCCCTCCCCCTTCTTCCCTTCCCTTTTTCATCCTTCCTTCCCTTTCTCATCCTTCCCTTTCTCATCCTTTCCTTCCCTTTTTCATCCTTCCCTTCCATTTCTCATCCTTTCCTCCCACTCTTCCTTTCCTTCCCTTCCCTTTCTTATCCTTCCCTTCCCTCCCCGTCTTCCTTCTTCCCTTCCCCTTTTCATCCTTCCTTCCCTTTCTCATCCTTTCCTTTCCCCTTCTCATCCTTCCTTTGCTCTCCCCCACTTCATCTCTTTCCTTCCTTCCTTGTACCCCATTGTTCCTTCTCTCTCTTTCTCTCTCCCCTCCCCCTCCGCCACTCTCGGCCAACCTACGCAGCTCATTGTTCCTGGTGATGGCAATGGAGGCCCGGGCCCTGGGGCCCTGCTGCGTGAAGTGGTACCCGAACCGCGTGATGGAGGTGCACTTCTCCAGCATGGCAGCCATCTCCATCTCCACCGAGTCACCCAGCCGCTGGCGCTGCAGGAGGGAGGGGAAGGAGCGTCAGGCGGCGGGTCTAAAGTTTAATTGTCCCCCAGTTGGGGAAACGCAGGATCGCAAAGTCTGTCTTGATGGTGTCAAAACTTCTTAACCTTGTCAACTTTAAGCTGGGTGGACTTCAACTCCCAGAATTCCCCAGCCAGCAAGCTGGCTGGGGAATTCTGGGAGTTGTAGTCCACCCAGCTTAAAGTCGCGGGACCCTCACCTGGTTGTCCACCTTCAGTTCGGCCAAGGTGCTGTTTTCCTTCATGGCTTTGATGACCTCCATCATCCCTGCGCTGGTGATGAAGTTGGACTCGATGTTGAGCGACTGGAGGCTCTTGTTCTCCTTCAGCATCTCGGCCACCGCCTAGATAGAAAAAAGGGGTCATGGGGGAGGGGGAACCCCAAGGGCAGCCACCCTCCACGGCCCCTGGGTGCCGGTCCCCTGGGGGAGGATCTTGGGGGCTTACGTGGGCCACTGGATCGTTGCTTCTGGTGGCCACTAAGCTGAGCTGCTTGACGTGGGTGTTCGTTTTCATTGCTTCGCAGATCTCCTTCAGGGTCTGGATGGGGATGTCCTGGGCGGGAGAAGAGCGGGGACGGCCGTCTGTGTAGAGGGGACCCCTGGGAGGGTCCTTTCCCCCCCCCTTCTGGCCGCCTCTGCAGGTGGGATGCGGGGGACGACGACCTCTGTGTTCCCCCACATGGCCGCCTGCTTTCCTGTAGCCCTCGACTTGGAGCCAGAACTTCGGTCAGAAGTCATGGCGGTCGTAAGTGGAATCAGACTCACAGCCATTTTTAAAGCAGTCATTAAGGGAGTCCAGCTCCCCCAAAGGTCACAAATCGTGCTCCCGTGATCGCAGGACGCTGCAACCGGTGCGTAAAGGCAAGACGGTGCCAAGCGCCCGAATCGTGCTCCAATAACCGCCGAGGAGCAGCGGCTATTAAGTGTGAGCACAGGCCAGGAAGTTGCTGTTCACAAGGCTGTCATAAATTGGAATTGTTCGACAAAGGGCCGTGACTCGAGGACTCAGGACAGGATAACCCCAGGATAGGACCGGTCCACGTCTCCCTGGTCAGTTCACCGCGGGGTCCTCTTGGGGGGGTTTGGCACTCACCTGGATGTTATTCAGGTTCACCTCTTCCAGGTCTTTGTCGTTGCTTCGGACTTTGGCCAGGGTTTCTTCGGCATTGGTGGGGTTGGGGGGCTCATCCGGGACCGGCTTGTACTTGTCCGGCTGGACCACACCTGCGCAGAAGAGGATGGGGGGGGGGGGGGGGGGAGAAAGGGCTACCTGAACCTCTTCTCACCTCTTGACGTCACCCTCAAGTCTTGATCTTTGGCCAACAGGCAAAATGGAATCCCCTGGCCTGAAGACCCCCCCTCCTCCCCCAGGTTGGTTCTTTCCCTTGGCAGGGGACGATGAGCTGTGTAGTGGACGAGACAGTGTTCAGCCAAGCGAGACAGTTTTGTTGTCCCCAGGCTGAACGTGGGGGCAGGGGGTGCAGTCAAATTGGGTAGGGCCATCTTTTGAGCCTCCCGGGAGCCCCTCCGCCGGCAGGGAATCAAATCCTCTCTACCTGCCCAAACTGTTTTAAATATGCCCTGCGACAACACCTTAATTTCCCACTTCTCGGTGTCTTTCACCCCTGCAGCCGAGGCAGGGGAAGGTGTGGCTTGTCAAGAGGACTAGAAACTTGACGGGGCAGGGGCTCCTCCCCTAAGCGGTTCCTCTCCCCTGAAGCCCAGCCCTGCCCACTCACTGTTGATGCCTTCCGTGTTGGTGATGTTGCCGCTGCAGATGGCGTCGTAATATTGCTTGTTGCTCATCAGGGTGTACATGCCCAGGATGGCTGCAAGGAAGCAGAAAGCCAAGAAGCCCAGCTGGATCCGGGTTAGAAAAAAAAATAACCCGGTTTGCTGCACAAAGCCTTGGCTTAGTCCAAACCTGGCCTGGCTCAGTTTCTAAAGCGGAGCAGGCGCGAGGGCTGGCGGAGCTCCAGGCGGGGACTAAAAGGAGAAAGGCTGCGGCCCGATCGGCTTACGCCTCGCTGAGTGTCGATGTGGGGCAGGCCGCTGACCCGCCTCCCTCCTGCCACTGGCTGGGCCAGGCGAGGTCTCTCCTCTGCGTGAGTCTCCTGCGGGATTCGCAGGGCTTCGAAGGAGCTGCGCCCACCCCAAAAACAAACCAGCCGCTTTTTTCGTGCATTGATCCTAAGTGGGATTGGGGGGGGGGGGCTGCCCACAACAGCAGCAGCCAAGAGGGGGTTGCAGCCAGCTGCTCCTGGATAGGGAGGCTCCACAGAGGGGGCGGGACTTGGATGCGGCTCGCTCTTTGGCCCCCCTCAGCTGCTTCTTACCTGCGATGTCGCACATTTCGGCGTCGGTGGCGTTGGCCAAGGCTTCCTCCAGTTCCGGCTCCAGGATGACGTCCTCTTCTTTGACGACTTCTTTTTTGGGGACTTTGGGGACGAAGGGCTTCCCTGCGGAGGGAGAGGCGGAAAAGGGTGAGGAACGGAGGAGGAAGAGGAAGCCAAGAGACCGAAGTCCGATGTAGCGCCGTGGGGGACTCCTGCAGGGCTCCAACGGGCAGCCTCCTTTATAAGCAACTAGAGCTCTCAAAATTCCCTTCCTTCCTTCCTCCCTTCCTTCCCTTTTCCTTCTTCCCTCCCTCCTTCCC